ACAAACAGATATATTTCACCCTCAAAAGGAACACTCATTTTAAAGAGTCTAGTCTGACCCTCAAATGATATTCTCATTTCCCTTTTAAATTTACCTCCAGTTCTTCTATTGTCTCCAATTGGCGAGACTGGTTACTTGTGGCTCGCTTTACCCCATCCTCCAGGGGCTCCAGAGATGCCTTCAGTTTCTCCTGCAAGGAAATTAAATCTAAAAATAAGAATAAGAAGATGGCATCACACTCCCCCCCCCCCCCATCAAGAACTCTGTTGAGTGCATAAAGGACAAGATGGCACCTTTCTTCCCAACCCCAATGCATAGAGGTCCACTACAATGACCAGCAGAAACACACCCACACAACCATAAAATCAATGGATCAGCATGCATCAAGGTGGTACTCAGATCCACACAAGCAGGGTGTGCCCAGGAGCAAACTGGAGCAAAGCAAAAGTAGACTACACCACCACTGGGCAGGGATCTCAAACGCCTGGAAAGTAAGTTGAAAGAAAGTTCTTTTATTCTGCTTTGACTCTCTTGAGATTAGTATTCACATGTGAAAAAGTAACCATGTTAGCCCGTAGAAGCACAGAGATGGGCACAAACTGAACCATGAATCCCCCCCCAGCACAAAAAACTGAATGTTTTTGGGGGCGGGTTCGTGATAGTTCCTGGGTAGCCATGAACCATCACAAATCACTGGTTTTCTGGTTTGTGCCTGTCTCTATATAAGAGTTCTCCTGCCAACCTAGCAGTTCGAAAGCATGCAAATGCAAGTAGATAAATAGGTACCAATTCGGTGGTAATGACATTCCGTGTCTAGTCGCGCTGGCCACGTGACCACGGAAACTGTCTTTGCGCAAACGCTGGCTCTATGGCTTGGAAACGGGGATGAGCATCACTGCCTAGAGTCGGACACGACTGGACTAAATGTCAAGGGGAACCTTTACCTTTACCTATATAAAAGTTAAATGTAGTAGCTAGTCTTTAAGGTACCGCAACACTTTTGTCACTTTTAAAAATAGTTTCAGCATTGTATTTTGCAGTAATGGTGTCATGGATGCAAGGAAAGTTGAACAAATGCTCTCTGGATGGTCCCTGAGACTGCTTTTTGTATGTTCCATATATGAGTACCTAAAAACAAGAGTGGACATTGATAATGACCAAAACAATGCTTTACTTGTACGACCAGTCGACAACCATACTGTGTTGCCCACAGTAGTCAGCAGTGCTCTTAACGTCTGATGAAAAGGACTTGTCCACGAAAACTCACATTAAAAAATATAAATGTTTTTTCTTTTTTTTAACTTTTGTTTTCACCTATAATGCTTGCACAGACCAACGCAGCTACCCCTTCTACAACGACAGTAGCCAGTAACACAATCAGAATTAAATTAATTCACCCAGAAGTATTTGAACCATCTTTTCATTGTCTGGCCAGAATCATTTTGAAATATCCACATGTTCAGTGTTACTTATGCAGGAGGCTGGCACCATTTCTCTGGGTGTTTTTGGTGCACAACTATTTGCACAGTTGGTGAATGAGTGGTGGGGCAGACACTCCAGGAAATGGCACGCGCCACTTGCACAACTAGCACTGCGGCAAGAATAGATTGTTCAATAGGAGGCTAGTTTCTCTGTTTTGAAACGAAAACAGTCAGGAGCCTTACAGAAACTTTCTGGAGGAGAGAGAAACGACACTTACTGTGTGGCAATGAACAGAAACTTAATAGCTGGGGTGAAGAACTGGAAGTCAAGAGGACTAAAGTAATAAAACTTCGCTGGAGTATCTGTGTAAGTGACTACTTGGGCTGGATCAGAGATATACTCAACAGGACAGTCTAACTTTTTTAAAGGATAATTTTAACCCTATTTTCCTCTTATAAACAAACAAACAAACAAGTACAGTTTTTTTCAGAAGGTGAAAATAATGAATCTTTTTTTTAAGTTAGCATGTGTTACATAGCTAGCGAAATGCCCAAAATGTGCCGAGTGATAGAGCTACTAACTTTTGTGTTTCTGTAAGAACGTACACTTATGAGGCACCCTGAATCTATGTGGCGCGTCCTCTGGGAGCTGTTTGGAATCTCCACTTGGTCTAAAACATGGCAGCCAGATTGCAAACTGGAGCTGGTCTCAGAGATCACATAATCCCATTATTACAGCAGCTCCATTGGTTGCTGATTAGTTTCTGGGCACAATTCAAAGTGCTGGTTCTAACCTACAAATCCCTAAACGGCCTGAGTCCAAGCTATCTCAAAGACCACCCCAACCCTTATGAGCCTACCGAGGTATTGAGATCTTCAGGAGAGGCCTTTCTCTCGGTCCTGCCACCCCCCGTTTGGTGGGGACACGGGAGAAGGCCTTCCCTGTGGCTGCTTCCAGATTTTGGAACTCCCTCCCACAGGAGGCCAGACTGACCCCCTCTTTGCTGTCCTTCCGCAAACAGGCAAAGGCCTTCTCTCTTCAGGCAGGCTTTCCTTTAGGTCAGTGGTTCTTAACCTTTGTTACTCGGATGCTTTTGAACTGCAACTCCCAGAAACCCCAGTCAGGACAGCTGGTGGTGAAAGCTTCTGGGAGTTGCAGTCCAAAACTCCTGAGTAACCCAAGGTTAAGAACCAGTGCTTTAGGTGATACTGGCTGTCTGAGTGGAGTTTTAAATGGATGGTTGTGCCTTTTACTGTTTTGAGTGTTTTTGTTGTTTCCTTTGTTTACCATCTTTTAATCGTATTTGTTAGATCCTTTTTAGCGTTTCTATACCTACTGTTTTTAGTTTTAAATATAAGGTGGAGTAATTTAAAATAAATAAATAAATAAATTAAATAAAGAAATAAAAGTCTTCAAGAATACAAAGAAATAAACTTTTTTGCCAGTCATATCCCAAACTCTGGGGAGGAAAAAAAATGTAACATCTATTCCACTGTTTTGATGTTACTTTTGAAATGTAATTTTGCCACAACCTTGTTCCTTGCAACAGGTAACCATTTTGTGTGTATGTTGTTGCCCAGAATCCTGTTGGTGTAAGGTATGCCATGGATCTTTGGTGATGTCATCAGTTGCAAACATGCAATAGTCATTTTGAGAAATTAAAAGCTTCCCATTTTCCCCATCCCTGGCCAGGCTCTGGGAATCTCTAAATACTGTCAGGGACCATCTGCCTGATAACTGGGGAGGGGGAGAGGAAATAGAAAATTTCAATTTCCCCAAACGGCTTTGGTAAGGCCATAGTTGATGATGTCACTGGAAATCTGTGGGGTAACTTAAGCCAACATGATTCTAGCCATTGTATCTGAGCTCCGCAGAAGTACTCCAAGAAACTGTCATATCCTACCTGGTAAACTTTCACAGCATTCTTGATAGGCAAAAAACTATGACTCTGATGCTGAGGCAGATCCCGACAGATCACACAGATAGGGGCCTCATCCTGGCTGCAGAAGAGTTTGAGTGGCTCCTCGTGTTCCTCACAGAAGTACCAGCTCCCCGTCCCACCAGGCCCCTCTAGTTTGAGCAGCCGAGCCTTCTCAGACAGGTTGGCCAAGACTCTGTTGTGAGCAGCTTCTTGAAGACTGAAGGGTTTTCGGCACTCTGGGCACGATCCCTCATGCCGACCCTTGGAGGAGATGCAGCTCTCCAAACAAGACAGGCAGAAGTTGTGGCCGCAGCCTAGCATGCGGGGGTCCTGGAAGATGGAGAGGCAGACGGGGCACAGGAGATCTTCCGCAATGCGGGATACCTCTCGGATGGAGGCCATTGTGAGTGTGCCGGAACTAAGTTACTATTCTGTTGGTGGGTCTCTGCCTCTTGAGGTGAGAACAAGGGAAGTCACGGAAGGCAGGATCACGGAAGGAACCTAAAACACAGATAGATAGGAACGGTAATAAAATGTTGTGGTGAAGACCAGTCATTTTTTAATATATTATGGGGATTGGATTAGTTTTACTGCAGCAAAAAACAACAACAAGAACAAAATGAGCACATTTTATTGGGCCAAAAGGTTCGTGGACTGTCATTCTCTTCATCCCACGTATCGAGTAATTGTTCATTTGGAAGATATTATGTACACATTTGGGTTGGAGGAAGGTTCTTGTTGTTAAGTCGTGTCCGACTCTTCATGTACGGAGATATTAAAATGGAAAAGGTACAAAACAATCTATTTCCTTAAGAGTGGTTGTTTACCAAACAGTAGTTGAGAGGGAAGTCTAACATCCTAGCATGGATAAACCCATTAGCACAAATGCAGTAACAAAAAGGTCTTTGTTCAATCCAAATCACCAGACTAGAGGAAATCAACAGCTAGAGGAACTCTTCTCTCTGACAAAGGATACTGGCAAACCTTCCCCTCGGAGTCCCAAGTCTGAGTCCTTGCGGCCAAGTCGCAAGACTCGAGTCTGAGTCTTGGGTCGCTTGCCCCATGTCCCGAGGCTTGGGCCTCGTGACTGGGAGCTAAAGACTCAGGCCTCCTGCCACTGCCTCCACCGCAGTTCCCCTGCTGCTGTACCCCCCTCCCGTGCTGTATGCCCCACTGCCCCCCAGTCCTTACCTCCTCCTGCCACTGCTACATTGTTTTGACGCTGTACATGAAACTGGAGTGTCCTCTCCAGGGCACGAAACCTAGGTAAAATAATATGGAGGATAGGCTGTTACTCAAGCAGCAAATCCCCCCTCTCCACGGCACTGAAATAGTCCAATGGAAAGGCATAGAAATGAATAATTAATGTCTAGAATATATATATTAGTAATCTTGTTTATTTATTTATTTATTTATTGCATTTATGCCCCGCCTATCTAGTCGAATGATGACTCTAGGCGGCTGCACAGGGGGCAGGCCCGCCATGCCCCCTGTGCAGAGGCTGTCATGAATCCCTTAATCATAATACAGTGGTGCCTCGCTTAACGAGTGCCTCGCTGAGCGATGAAATCGCTTAACGAGGCACTCTGGGCCATCGCTGGAGCATTCGCTCAGCGATGGCCCCATGGGGTTTTTTCGCTTTGCGAAGATCGCTAAGCGATTCGCTTAGCGATCTTTGCATAACGAAGCCGGGGAGAACAGCTGATCGGCGGTTCCAAAATGGCCGCCGGAAGGTCCGCGCCGCATTTTCGCGCCCTGCCCTCGCTTAACGAGGGCACGAAAATGGTGGCGCTATGAAGAAACATCGCTGAACGGTGAGTTTTCAAGCCATAGGAACGCATTGAACAAAGTTCAATGCGTTTCTATGGCTTTTTTTATTCCGTTTAGCGATGTTTCGCTATAGCGAAGGTTAATCCGGAACGGATTAACCTCGCTATGCGAGGCACCACTGTATTGTTATAGGATTAGGACCTGGACCTTTAAAACGTTTTGGGGGGGTGGGCTGGAGCAATTCCCAGACAGACAGACAGACAGACAGACAGACAGACAGACAGACAGACAGACAGATGGGTCACTTGAGGGGAGGTAGCTCCTCCTGCAAAGCAAACCTTGTCATCACAATCAGATGTGTACCTTTCCTGCCATCGGATCACACTCATTGTGTGTTCTAATGGAGGTGAACTGGCTTCGCAGTCCGGATCCAGCCAGATCCCAGGAAAAACTGGGACAAAGGTGACCAAGTACGTATTTGAGCTTGGAAACGTCTCTCCCCAGCCCCTCTTCTGCTTCCTTCCTTTCCTTCCCCACCTCTTACAATAAAAGCCAACAGAAGCAAGAGTAAAGGCAGGGCACCTACTTGGATGCAGATGTCAACAGTTGCTCGGTGGCTTGGCCAAGACTTCTTTCTTCATGGCTCTGCCGTGCAGCAACCTTGAGTCTAATCGTAGGCATGAACAGGAATCCTCATCTTTCAGTTGCTGGGCTGGCTGTACCAGACTACGAACACAGCTGGACAAGCAGTCGTTATGCGTGGAAGTGAGGCAACTTTCGAAAGCAAACTGAATGCCACAGGGTTGTATAACAACTGCCTGCTCCACCCACTCCCGGTTTCTCAAAAGAAGAGTTTAAAGGCTTGATCCCTTCCCACCAGAATTTTTTTTTTAAAAAAGAAAAGACTCATCGATTATGTTCAGGGTGTACTCCTGTGCCCAGGATTTGCACTCAAAATTTGCCTCAGAATGCAACATTTAAGTTAGCATGAGAAACAAAAACAACCCTATTTTAAAGCCAGTTTTGTTTTCTATTCTGATTTAGGGATTGCAGAAGTTTAGTCATAGAATAAAATGTGAGGCACGGAAAAAGCCTGAATCATGCAGACAAATGGAAACTTCTTTATAAACCCATAGAGGCAAAGCCAAATGGAATTGGGTGAAAGGGTATGTTATTTGGGAATAGGCGAATTCAGTTCAGACAATTATAATATCCACTATTGTGGACAAGAATCCCGTAGAAGAAATGGAGTAGCCCTCATAGTCAACAAAAGAGTGGGAAAAGCTGTACAAGGCTGTATATTATCTCCCTGCTTATTTAACTTATATGCAGAATACATCATGTGAAAGGCAAGACTGGATAAATCCCAAGCTGGAATCAAGATTGCCGGAAGAAATATCAACAACCTCAGATATGCAGGTGATACCACTCTGATAGCAAAAAGTGAGGAGGAATTAAAAAATCTCTTAGTGAGGGTGAACGAGGACAGCACAAAAAATTGTCTGAAGCTCAACATCAAAAAAACTAAAATCATGGCCACTGGTCCCATCACCTCCTGGCAAACAGAAGGGGAAGATATGGAGGCAGTGACAGAGTTTACTTTCTTGGGCTCCATGACCCCCTCACCACTGCAGGAGTATACCAGATACCTTGCAGTTGTGGACAGGTATATATTGGAACCACAAAACACAGCATTTACACCAGAATCAAAGAACATGAGAGACACTGCAGACTAAAACAACTGGAAAAATCAGCAATAGCTGAACATGCCCTAAAATAAGCTAGACATGAAATTCTATTTCAAAAGTACTGGACAACACCAGCAATCATTATGTTAGACTGCACAGGGAAGCCATTGAAATCCATAAACATCAGCATAGCTTCAACAAAAAAGAGGAAAGTCTGAAACTGAATAAGGCCTGGCTTCCATCAATGGAAAATACAGCCTGCAGAAGGTCAATGAACTCTATCCAGCCACAAGGACCAGGGATCATTGCACAAAAGAGACCAACTAAAGACACCCATCCACCACAATGACAGTGGGTTTTCTCTCCACTGTGTAGTTGCACCCTGCAGCTGTCGTACTTTGGGGAACATCATGAGAAAACAAGGCTTCCTGGAAAGGGCATTAACGCTGGGAAAAGTGGAAGGCAACAGGAAATGAGGAAGATCAAATGTGAGATGGATTGACTCCATAAATAAAGCCACAACCTTCATTTTGCAAGATGTGAGCAAGGGTGATCCTGATAGGATCTTTCAGAGGTCACTAATTCATGGGGTTACCATAGATGGGAAGTGTCTTGACAACACCTATCAAGAACAGCAGCGGCCAATAGCTCAGTGATTTAGGTCTCCGACCCAGAGCCAGAGGGACTGGAGTTCGATTCCCCACTGTGCCTCCTTGACAGGGGCTTGATTTGATAATCCATAAGGTCCCTTCTAGTTCTGCAGTTCTAAGATTATTATAATTATTCCGCCAGCTCTCTCTCTCTCTCTTCCACCAGCCTGGAGGCTGCAGCGTTAAAAGACTCGAAAACTGCTGAGTCAAATTTGCTAGAATGCTGATGGTTTGCAGGGGAACAAAGTGCTGCATCACCTTATGGACGTGAGCCCGGCTGCAGTTTGCAGATATTAAGATCTGTTCTCCTCCCTCCTCCTCCCTGCTGCCTTGCCTGCACCGGGGAGGGAAGAGTGGGGCCGGCAAAGAGAGTTGAAGACAAAGACACCCCCAGGACACAGATGAGGAGATGCTTAGCCTAATGGAGAAGTCCTGATTTGATCCCCAATCAGGAGAGGAGAAAAAAATCTGGGACAAGAAGGGGTACCACCACTCAGCTAGAGGAGAGGTTCAGCTGAAAGGGTAAGAGTGCCATTTATGCTTCCTTCACCCAGGATGTCTGCATGAGAGGGAACCTTGAGTTGCGTTCCATAAAATGTCATCAACCTCCTGAGGCCACTTGGGGGTAGTTACAAACCTTACATCCAGTACTTAACTTCCACTAGCAAGTCAAACCCCCCAGAATCAGTTGAACTTTCCTCTGAACAAACCTGCATAGGAATGATAAGATAAAGCTATCATAAAGGCAAACACAGTACTGGAAGTTTAAAAAAAAAGCAATCACTTTTTTATTTTTTATTTTATTTTAAAAGCAATCACTTTAAAAGGGATTGGCTGTTAAGTTCTTTTCAAAAGTAAGTTTCTGAATTTTGAGGAACAAAAAAATCTAGAAAGTTATATATTTGCTTTAAGTGGTTCATAATAAATATGTTCCTTGAATGAGTGTGTGTGTGTGTGTCTGTGTTCTGCAATGCTTATGTTGTATCTTCTACCAATTGTAGGTTTTAAAAAAATTTCTGAGAGTCCCTGTTACTTGCAGGTGACCTTGAAGTTCTATGAAGTGATGGTGCTCTGCTGTGTTACAGAAACCTGCTCTGTTCGTGGGTTTCTTAAGCCACAAAGAACCTGCCAGTAGATGGAATAAAACAGCTTTTACTCCATTGTTGCCCTCTATATCAGTTGGGACACACGAGACAGGTATTTTCATGCATGTGTGGAAAGACTTTCTTCACTCACCCCCCCACCTGCCCATCCCAGTGATGCTGCACAAAATTGCCAGGGTAACCAACCCTGAAGCAGTCTTACACTATTGATCAGAATGGTTAGAGATGATAGGGGAATCTAGTTCAGCATGTTGCAAGGTTAGGAAAGTTGGACCAAACAATTCCTCACCATTGCCTTACCACCAAAAGAAGGAGCTTCTAATAATTCTACTCTTGGAAGGGAAAGCTCAGCAATCTTGGGGTCTTAGATTTGGGAAGATTGTTGGCTGTCATTCAGTTCATCCCTTGAATATACTGTTTCTCCCAAAAAAGACCTAAATTGAAAATAATCCCTAGTATGATTTTTCAGGATGCTCATAATATAAGCCCTACCCCCCAAATAAGCCCCAGTGAAGTGAAACCCCACCCTCCACCCTTGTGCAGCAAGCAGAAGAAGATGACCTGACTGTATTTGAATAAATGTAGACTTTTGTAAATGAAAAAAAAATCCCCTGCATATAAGCCCTAATGTGTTTTTTGGAGCAAAAATTAATATGTCTTATTTTCCAGGAAACATGGAAATAGGAAAGCAACCTCAGAATTTCAAGTGAATTTCATTGTTGTTATCCAAGAATTTGTCAGACGCAACTTAATAGCAACCCTAATAGGGCTTTCAAGATAAGTGAGATATTTAAGGAGTGATCTCAGCAGTTCTGCTCCCCCCAAGTGAGTTTCCATGGCTGAGTGGGGATTTGAACCCAGGCCTCCTCAGTCACAGTCCATCACTCTGTCCAGTACACCAGAGGTCCTCAGTCCTTGGCCCGGTGCCAGTCTGTGGCCTGAGCCGGACTGGGCCGCAGAGAGAGACCTCCCCCCACCCCCACACGCACTCCCCCCACACAGCCCATTTCTGCCTGCGTGTGAGTGTGCACGTGCCCACACAAGCGCCGCGCCACCCTTTGCGCATGTGCATGAGCAAGCGCCCGTGCGAGAGCGAGCATGCTCCTTCGTGCTTGCGCATGAGCGCAGGGGGGGTGCCCCACTTTCCTCAGCCAGTGCATGGGGCTAACAAAGATTGGGGACTGCTACCACCACACCACACTGGGTATCCTCTCCGGGGACATCTTGGTGCAAATAAAAACTCAACTATTTTACTCAGGATCTTCCATCTTTAACTTTAGGACTCATTAACAGAATTATTATTTCAATTAACATTGTTATTTCTAGGACATCCTCATTTATGGGCCATTCCTTGTTTTGTTCTAGAGAAGAAAACTTAGAACAAGCTTGACAGGAGACAAGATATAACAGTTGTTTGGAGATTTCCCCCTCCACAAAAAAAGAGAGAGGACGTTTTCGCTCAGCAGAGTGAATTTTTTAAAAAAGGAAGTCCACCGAGCCGTCAGGTCAAGAGCAGGTCCTATCTGGAGGAAGCAGTGTGTCTCTCCTTTGATCGCTCAACATGGCGTCCGTGAGAGAGGTATCAAGCTTCACCGAGGATCTGCTGTGTCCCATTTGCCTCTCTATCTTTCGGGACCCCCACATGTTGGAATGTGGCCACAGCTTTTGTGCCCCGTGCCTCGAACCCTGCATCCCCAAGGGTCAGAGGCGTGGGTTGTGCCCAGAGTGCCGGCGTCCCTTTGCCTTGCGCCGCATGGCCGTCAACCGAGCGCTCTGCAGCTTGGCAGAGAAGGCCCGGCTTCTCAAGCTGGATGAAGGCTCTCAACTGGGTGGGACTGGAGGCTGGTACTTCTGTGAGGAACATGAGGAGCCACTCAAGCTCTTTTGCAGCCAGGACGAGGGGCCGGTCTGTGTCATCTGCCGAGATTTACCTCAGCACCGAGGACATGACTTTCTGCCCATCAAAAATGCAGTTCAGGCTTATCAGGTGAGAGGCAAGCACCCTCTAGGTTCTGGGGAAAGGACGGAGGGTCCAGTTAGTTCCATAAGAAAGATTTAGAAGCTGGTCCTCTTCTGGAGCTATTATCAGGGAGAAGACGGAGGACAGATATTCATGGACTGTGGAGGACTGTGTCTCGTCCCAAAATAATTTGTCCTCTGCGCATGAATCAGCGACCTCTGGTGGAGGAGAAAGATTCTCCTTAGTAGTTGTTCTGGGTTTTAGCTTTCCTTCCTAGGGATGCTACCCTGTTTCCCCAAAAATAAGACCTAACGTGAAGGCTTATCAGGTGAGAGGCAAGCACCCTCTAGGTTCTGGGGAAAGGACGGAGGGTCCAGTTAGTTCCATAAGAAAGATTTAGAAGCTGGTCCTCTTCTGGAGCTATTATCAGGGAGAAGACGGAGGACAGATATTCATGGACTGTGGAGGACTGTGTCTCGTCCCAAAATAATTTGTCCTCTGCGCATGAATCAGCGACCTCTGGTGGAGGAGAAAGATTCTCCTTAGTAGCTGTTCTGGGTTTTAGCTTTCCTTCCTAGGGATGCTACCCTGTTTCCCCAAAAATAAGACCTAACGTGAAAATAAGCCCTTGTATGATTTTTCAGGATGCTCGTAATATAAGCCCTACCTCCAAAATAAGCCCCAGTTAAGTGAAACCCCGCCCTCCACCCTTGTGCAGCAACCAGAAGAAGATGGCATGACTGTATTTGAATAAATGTAGATTGTTGTACAGGAAAAAATTAAAACATCCCCTGAAAATAAGCCCTAATGCTTTTTTAAAAGCAAAAATTAACATAAGACCCTGTCTTATTTTCGGGGAAACACGGTACATAGCTTGCTCCATGCTGTCGTTCTGCTAATAAGCAATGATCTTTTAAAGACATATTTTTGTTAATTAGCTGGTGACAAAGGAAGGGTTTTTAAACAACTAGATGCTGTATTATTTTACTGACGTGCTTTTAAATCATTTTCAGTTTTAATTCAGATTTTGACGTTAGAATTTACCTAGATTGCATTTCAGTATTATAATTTGTTCTTTAAAAAAAATATGTGCCTGGTTTTTAATAACTTATTCTGAACTTCCTGGGGTCTCAGATTTGGGGGAAAGGTGTGATATGAATCAAATAAATAAACATGATGTTGCAGAGTATGTTTACTTTGGTAAATCTACCTCAATCTGGTTTCAGTAGTACAAGTGGTGCCTCGCATAGCGACGATAATCGGTGCAGCAAAAATCGCTGCAAAGCAATTTTGTCGCTATGCAATTTTAAAAAGCCCATAGGAATGCATTGAAACCCCTTCAATGTGTTCAAATGGGCTTCAGACTCACCTTAAAGCGAAAATCCTCCATACGGTGGCCATTTTTGCTGCCCGGTAATCAAAGAATCTGTCCCAGAAAACAGCGGATGGCCATTTTTTTTACCCGGCGGCCATTTTGGAACCGCCGATCAGCTGTTAAAAATCATCACTTTGCGATGATCAGTAAGCGAAACAGGGTAAAGATCATCGCAAAGTGATTTTTCCCCATTTAAAACAGCGCAATGTGATCGCTTTTGCGATTGCAAAATCTTCATCGCTATGCAATTTCATCGTTAAACGGGGCGCCCGTTAAGCGAGGCACCACTGTATATTTCAGGCTTCCATCATGTGAATAAGAGATCATGTCTTATGCATGTGGACAGTTTTGACATGTGAAACTCAGCAGTGACCTCCAACAGTGCTGTGAACTAAAACAGACACATAGAATGCCTACAGTACATGTTTCTCTTGTGTCCAAAGTATCATTGCTGTAAAATGTCCTCAAGTCACTCTTGGTGTGTGAAGTAAAAATAGATTAGGGGCAATTTAAAAGATCATTGCAATTTAGGTCTTTATCATGCTTTCTTTTACCTAAAGGAACACCATACAGAAAACTGACTATGAAGGAGGAAAGCCTGGGGCATGGGGTGGGGGTGGGGTCTATACAGTATCAATGTCTATATTTTAGACTTCATTTTTCACCCACTTTTCTTGCCCTCCTCCAAACCATGTTAATCTTAAAGGATGTTGGGTAATCTCTTGTCTCAAAGGACCAGTTGAAGGCATCTTTAGAACCTCTGGAGGAAGGCCTCCGGCGTTTGAAAATGAGCCAGTGCCAGCAACAGGAAAACATTATAGAGTTGAAGGTGAGCTCAGGCAATGATGATGGGTTCATGGCGGATAGCTGACCTTTATTTCTGAATCTTCCTGCTTAACCCTCTTAACCCTAACCCTGACTCAAAATCCACTCCTGTGGGCATTGCTTCCCTCTATTTGTTATTCTTTGCCTGGTAGTTAACATTCAGGAATTGATATCTGGCCTTTTTTTGTTATCAGTATCCAGGCTGGTGCTGTTTGAAGCATCAGGAAAATGCCAAATGAAACCAAATGTGGGCATTGCCTCCTTACTTGTTTCATGCCTGTTGTACAGTAACTGGGACTGTTTGGTTTGAAGCATCAGGAAAATGCCAAATGAAACCAAACGTGGGCACTGCCTCCTTACTTGTTTCGAGCCTGTTGTAACTGGGACGCCCCTGTTCTAGCATTTTATGGCCACCGAGCATGCTCAGTCTTCATACTGCTGTATCTGGTTCTCTTCCTTTCACATCTCTTCCCTCCACACAGCCCCGACTTAATTTTTACATTTTTGAACTGCATCAGGAAAATGCCAAATGAAACCAAACGTGGGCACTGCCTCCTTACTTGTTTCGAGCCTGTTGTAACTGGGACGCCCCTGTTCTAGCATTTTATGGCCACCGAGCATGCTCAGTCTTCATACTGCTGTATCTGGTTCTCTTCCTTTCACATCTCTTCCCTCCACACAGCCCCGACTTAATTTTTACATTTTTGAACTTTTGTAAATCCTTGTACCCTCCTCTTATGTGTGGATGGTGCTGTGTTGGTTACCTATATAGATCCTTAGGCCTCAGATTTCTACTACACTGAATAGTGCGTAGCATTGGAAGAGATGCAGTTCATGTTCAGCAGAGTGAGACCTTCTCTCTCTCGTGATATATTTATGCTCTCCTAGACGTGTTCTGAGTCCTTATCTGATCACGTGTCTGGGGAGTTTGTGAAGATGCACCAGCTGCTCAGTGAGAGAGAGCTGAGTTTAAAGGAGGCCCTGGAAAATCAACGGGAGAAGAACTTGACCGAGATGGAAGCCAAGCTGAAGGAGCTGAACTGGAAAGTGGCCTCGTGGTCAGAAACCCTCTGCCGAGTGCGGACAGGACTGGAATGCAAGGATCACATCATTTTCCTTAAGGTGAGAGGAAGCTTGGGTTGAGGTATGCTTGGGGGGGGGTGGAAGATGATGAGAAAGGAAGAGAAGGGGAAAGGTGCTTAAGAGCAACACCCTAAAACTGGAGGAAGATGAGACTTTACGTTCCCTCCAACCACACTGACTAATGCTACCGAATTCAATTTCAATTCTTCCTTTTAACTTAGCACAGCACTTAAGATTCATCTCCCGCTGTGCTAATGTCAAACCTGTCGTGTTTCTCTCTAATTCTCTTCCCTTTCTGAAACAAGGAACCTACATTTTCCCTAAAGCTGATCCAGGTAACGGTGAATTTTATATTTTTAGAAATGGGGAACCAGCTGTAGCTTGCTTCCTTGCCGCAGCATTTCTAGGCCAACCTTTCGGTCCTTGTGTATACAGAATGTTGGACGGGTCGGCCTGCGGGCCAGAAAGAGTTGCCTGTAACGTAAGAAAAAGTCCCGCTAGATTCGGTTAGCTCTTTCTAGAAGAGGGAATCCTTTACGTACTGATGAAGTTTGATTGTCACAGTCGGTTCTTTTTCTCCCCTTCCCGTGTGTTGGGCTGGATAGACTGATGGATTAGGACTCTGGCGACCAGGGTTCAAATCCCCACTTGGCCATGGAAACTCACTGGCGAGTGGAATTGGTAAACCACTCCCTTAACATCTCACTTACCTTGAAAGATAGGTTAGGATCGCTCTAAGTCAGTTCCAACCTGACTGTACGAAACACACACAACAAAATAATGAAGGAAATATAAAGGAAATACAATAAATACATCAAGAAACATAAAATAATCCATAACTCAATTTTAATTGCATGTATCCAGCTACTACTTGTTCTCAGCAGTTATCAGGAGAGACACTTCCCTTTCTATCAATCTGAGCACATGGTGCCGACTTCCTGAAGGTACTCCAGGTCAGTTCCTGGTGTTAATCTAGGTCACTCATCTTTCCACCTTGCCTCCATGCTCCCCTCTTTTCTCTTGTCTCTTCTTCCTCTAGATGGTTTCCTACTTACCCTTTTACTACCCCTCTACTGATGAACTCCTGTTAGCTCTCCCTGTTCATTCAAGAGAACATTAGACACCCATCTATCAGGTATACTCTGGCTTGGATTCCTACATTCATCAGGGAGGTGGACTCAATGGGCTTGAAGGCACCTTCCAACTCCACTGTTCAACCAGATGTTATGAACAAGTTCATTAGGTACAAGCATATACAGCGGTGCCTCGCATAACGAGTGCACAATTTAACGATGAATCCGCATAGCGATCTTTTTAGATCGCTAATGCGATCGCATCGCGATGTTTTAATGGGCAAAACATCACATTGCGATGTTTCTAAAACAGCTGATCAGTAGTTCGAAAATGGCCGCCGGGTGCCCAAAATGGCCGCCGCAACCATTTTCACGTGGTTTCCTCGCTTACTGGGGGTGCGAAAATGGCGGCGCTATGGAGGATCTTTGCTGAATGGTGAGTTTGGGCCCCATAGGAATGCATTAAATGAAGTTTAATGCGTTCCTATGGGTTTTTCCGTTCCGTTTAGCGATGTTTTCACATAGCAACGATTAATCTGGAACGGATTAATGTCGCTATGCAGGGTGCCACTGTACTTCATTGACTTGGTTACCTAGCTGTGGAGCTAGGTTGGGAATCTGGTTTCCCACAATGATTCCCAAGGGAAGAGCCAACCTGTGTAGCCTTAGGCCAGCTGCACAGAAGCACCTGTAGAGGAAGGGAATGTAAACCACGTCACAATACTCTGTACCCAGGAAACCCTGGAAAGCGTCACCACAAGTTGGAAACAATGTTACAGCACAATATTATTATTATATTGCCAGTATGGCGGTTAATAAAGGTGAGAACACTGTCATTAAAAAAAAGAAGTGGCAATGCCAATACAGTATCCTACAGTTGAAGATGCAGGGATTCAATGCACAGGAGTGTTTTTAACGTGGTTCAATACACAGGCATCCAAAGGCGAACCTCTAAGAGTGAACTCCCTCTCTTCCCGAGTGGGCGAAACTTGAAAAGTTTCTCTCAAAATCCAAACAAGCAAAAATTTCAGTTATATTGTTAAAATGTTTGCACTAATATTCCTCTCACTGGTTGCTTCCAAGGTTAGGAAGCAGCACTTTAGGAAACTGAAAGCAAAGATCGGAGGGTTTTTTTAAAAAATACTCCAGCTCCCAGAATTCTCTCAGCTAAAGTGAAATGACCCTGTTGGCTGGTGTATACTTGAAACTAGCTTTCCCCATCTTTGGCACAAAGGGTTAAAATTCTCTCCTAAGCTGCTTCTAGATGAAATGTTCATTATGCCTTTGCCCAAGACTTTTACTAGTAGACCTCAATCAATGACGTCTTCCATTTGTAATTGTTATAATTTTTTTGACAGCATCTTTGACCTTTATTCCACAGTGAAACCTTTAAGGAAGGAAAGATAGATTAAATGCATTATTCAGTATCAGGGTGTATTCGTTTTGCAAATCATGCATCAACGAAAACTGCACAGTATGCTGCTTATATACTGCCCCACAGCACTCAAAGCACTTTCTGTAAAATTGGTTTACAATTTTTAATCTTGGAGATTACACATTACCCCCCCCACCAATTTACCAACCTCAGAAGGATGGAAGGCTGAGTCAACCTCAAGCCACTATCTGTACCTGGAAGGCTGAGTCAACCTCAAGCCACTACCTGTACCTGTCAGGATCGAACTTGAGTTGTGAGCAGAGTCTTGACTGCAGCAGTGCAGTTTAACCACTGCAACACGAGGCTCACGAGATTATTATAGGAATGAACCGTGGCCGCTGCTCTTGATGGGTTTGTTTTATCTTGCCTTACTGATTCGTTCTGTTCTTACTGTTTTCCATTTTGATTATTATTTACCTTTATTGCTAGATGGTGGTAGTTGTTTTATTTGTTTGTTAACCACTCGGAGTAGTGCCTTGCACTAGTCGGGCGGTATAAAAGTGGAACAAATGAACAAACAAACAAATAATTTTCAGATGCTTTATTTTCCCCTTTCTTTTCCTTTAGGAGGCAAAGGAATTACTGGATAGGTGAGTAATGCTTGTTTTTTTTTAAACTTAAGCAACAAGTGATGGAAGCCTGGGAAGCATACACTGGAGTCTTTTTTAAAAAAGCAATTTGATATGCAGAATTCAGCAGGTGATGCTTTCCCAGAATGGAAATGAAACATTCGCTCACTCGCTCACTCCTTCGTTTTATTTATAGCCCAACTTTCTTACAATATAGCCTGGAATCTACAGTTATCACGTGACATTCCTAATTTCATGGTTGATCAGATTCTAGTCACTGTGGAGATCAAGCAGCTATTGCCGAAAAGCTCTGTGATAGATTACGATTTGGGAGCCCTCACTTATGAAAGGAGTATTAACTGATGTATATCTTGTAACCCTGGGCTGTGGAAAGCAGGAGTTTAGGGGCTAAATTTATTTGCGATTATGAGGTTGTACTGCCAGTTTCGCTGGCTCCTGAATCTAAACCAAAGGGTCAAGCTAGTTTTGATCCATTCCCTGCCTTTCTTGCAGGGTGCTAACTTTGGCAGTCAGTTGGATGTGGTTCATTCACTGCTCCTTGTTCCAGTGCTGGGAAGGCAAGGGAAGAGCAAAGGGGGGTGGGTGGAGATTCCTCGCTCCTGTTGTCCTGTACCCCATTTGGGGGTGAAGCTTTGGAAACTGGGCAGGCTAACAGGGGAACCTCTGTGGGGCAGACTGGGGATCAGACTGAGCCAGATGAGGTCTGCAGACCAAGGAATCCTTTTCCATGGTGTGATTCTAGCAGGAGAAATACAGCTGTTCCTGAATTTCACCTTTCAAACGGTTACCGTATTTTTCTGTGTATAATCCGCCCCCATGTATAACGCCCCCTCACTTTTCTAATCCAGAAATTCTTTCTTCACAAGAAAGCGGAGGGAGAAGGCAGTGATCAAAGCATTTTGATTCCTGCTTTCCCCCCTCCACTTTCTTGCAAGGAAAGTGCTTCCCCCCTCCAGTTTCCTCTCAAGAAAGTGCTTTCCCCCTCCATTTTCTTTGCAAAAAGGGGAAGGGGAAAGCAGGGATCAAAGCACTTTGAATCCTCCCCCTCCTTACTTCTGTGTATAAGATGACAGTAAATTTTTAATCTAATTATTTTAGAGAAATAGTGTCATCTTATACACAGAAAAAACGGTATTTCTTGCAATGCTAGTGACACCTTGTGGCCACTTGAAACTCTGTTTGTTTCCCCACTGTGTAATATTAAAAAGACCTTACTTCTGTGTATAAGATGACAGTAAAATTTTAATCTAATTATTTTAGAGAAATAGTATTGTCTTATACACAGAAAAATATGGTATTTCTTGCAATGCTAGTGGCACCTTGTGGCCACTTGAAACTCTGTTTCCCCACCGTGTTATATTTAAAAGGCTTTAAAAAGATATTGCTCAGGATTGTGCCAGGGGATTGTACAAAATTCATCTGCAATGGCTGGTTCCTGGGGAGACCTTTTCTTGCAGGGTTCGTAAGGAACAAGGAACCCAGGTGGAAGAGGAGGAAGGACTAGAAGCTGAGGTGGTGGAAGAAGGGTTGGGAGCCAGCGGTGAAGACACAGATGAATGTGAGAATGGGGTAGATGAGGGGCTGCTGGAAGACGATGAAGATGTTGATGAGGAAGAAGAGGAGGAGGAGGAGGAAGAGGAGGAAGAGGAGGAGGAAGAGGAAGAAGAGGAAGAAGAAGAGAAAGTGGAAGAGGAGGACGAGAAGGAGGACGAAGATGGAGTGGTGCCAGTAGACTTGAACTTGGGCGAGTTCAAAGGTCCTCTGCAGTTCTATGCCTGGAAGGAGCTCTTAGGGGCAGTGCATCCAGGTAAGGCCATTCATAATCCATTTTGGGGATGGGATCAAGTGTATCAAAGTTTTAAAAATCCTAAATAAGTTGATGTAAAATCCTAAAGAAGTTGATGTAAAAGTCTTTGAAATTCAGATTTTCTGAATTTTGGCATTGAAGCCATTCTATGAGAGTTTGTTCTGCAAGTCAACTCTACAGAAAATATTTCTTCCTTTCACTGGTCCTTTTCCCCCCCTCCCCACCTTGCTCCCCACAGTCCCAGCGTGCATCACTTTGGATTGCAACTCTGCTCATCCCAGCCTGATTCTCGTGGAGGAAGCCACCGGGGTCAAGTACAGCCCAGGCCGCCGTTTCTGGCGCCGAAAGCCAGAGCGCTTCACCTCCAGCCCGTGCGTGGTGGGGCGGAAGGGGTTCAGCAGCGGGCGGTTCTATTGGGAGATACGTGTTGGGGACAGCACCGGTTGGGTGGTCGGGGCAGCTAAAAAGTCGGTGAAACGCAAGAAGCACCTCAACTTTAAGCCCAAGGAAGGCATCTGGGCAATTGAGTTGAGGGCTGGACAGTACCAAGCCCTGAGTGAGCCCCGCAGCCCTATCTCAGTCTGCGGGCGGATGGATAAGGTTGGGGTCTACTTGGACTTTGAAGGTGGGCAGCTCTCTTTTTACAACAGCAGCAGCATGAACCACCTCTACACCTTCCAGGTCTCGTTCCATGAGGAACTGCTTCCCTTTCTCAGCACTCAAGGCAACCATCCCCTCTCTGTCTGGGACCTGGATCTCTAAGGCCGTATCTGCACCATCAAATTATTTCATCTCCATACAACTTTAACGGTCCTGATTCCCTCCAAAGAAATTATGGGATTTGTTGTTTGGCGGAGCAGCAGTGTTCCCTGGGAGTTATGGTTCTTCGGGAGGTTCCGTTTCTAGAGCCTAATGGATAACAAGACTATGACTCCCGGGAAGCACGTGCAACTGCTTCCTTTATTTTGCAATAACAACAGGAGGCAAGGCCAGAGAAGGCAATGGAACCTCAGAGGTAGGCCCTGCTCCAGGTGAGTGAAATATAGGTAGTACCTCTAGGTGTGTCTTGGCAGGCTGAAAGTCCCAGAATTCTTCTTGACGAATTCTTGGAGAATTCTGGGCATTGCTGTCCAGAAATAAGAAATTGTACACTTCTAGTACTTCAGATTCTCTGCTAAGTAACTCTAATGCGTTGCTTTGAACTACTACAGAGAACAAGAGTTCATAAAATTACAGATCTCAGAATTTTGAAGGATGGAATCATTGCAATAAAAATGGCAACAAATTGCTATGACTGTATATTTTCAACACACTCTCTTTTGCTCAAGTTGCGGGGTTTTTAAAAGTCTGCTTAAGATTAAGAAATAAAAACTATTAAATATACTGTAGATACTTTTATTTAAAAACATCACCCAATGTTAGCTTGTCTTTGCACTGTTCATGGACAATGGACCTTTACAGCTTTGAAGCTGATTCAGCAAAGCTACTGTTGCCCATGTGAATTTGTTTTCCCTCTACCATGGTCGTGATGGGGGTGGGTTCTCGAGTTACGGTTGCCAGCTTTTTGACTGGTCCCTTTTGCTTGTAACTTTTAACAGTGGCTTGATCCGCCGATACAAACGTGAGCCATTTTCGAGCTGCTGCTTCATTAAACTGTAGGACAAGCCAGATCCCCTCCATAAGTTGGCCATCCTGTCTGTAGATGGGGGTTTTTGTGTGAGTGACAAAGCGAACCTGGAGTAGCAAAGTAGAAAACATGAAAAAGACAAACTGGGCAACTTCTGGATGGCCTCTTTAGAGACTCATAAAATATGTGTTCTGTACACCTGATTTTACCGGGGAAAGCCATGACTTTGTAATTCCAAAGTTCTTGGGCATGCACACAGTTATTCAGAAGAGCAATATCTATACAGACAAGTATTTTTAAAGCAACAAACAGCACTCCAGACACATTTGTCCTCGGTACAAGAAGGATGTTATTGATTACTTAAAACACATATTTATTAAAATGGTGACCAAATAAGGTGTCTGGCTGTGGAGCAAAAGGTTGGGAAGTTTGATTCCTCATGGTGCCTCCTTCCAGCTCTGCAGTTCTAAGATTAAAATAAGAACATCTTTTTGAACACCATTTTAATATTTCAGTTTTATTGTTATTCTAATACACACTGTACAAGCCAGAATCCTATTAATTCATCCTGTTCTTAAGTCTACTGGAATAAATCTCAGTGGTGAACTGTCGCAAGTTACGTAATCGGTGTTTGCATTTGGTGTTGTACACCAGTTGAATGTGACTACAAATGCATATGTCAAATGCATATGTCATTTGTAGCCATATGTAGCCATGTGACTACAAATGCATATGTCAGGTTCCTAACTAGCAACAATTTGCCACTGGAATTTACATCATCAGACTGTATAGTGGTGTAATCCTATTGGATTCCGGCCACAGACGCAAATTAGTCCATCGACAAGTGGTGCTACTTTTAAACCATCTGGCTCAAAGACCCATGCCTTGTTGTTCTATGTCTGATTTATTTGGAGAGATACAAAATGTATGCCAACAAATGTTTTAGTGAATAGAACTGTGTGCCTGTCAAACCCACCTCCTCCAGTTCTGTGCCAAAAATGCTAATGTCATAATGCATTTGTGTCAACTATGATTAAACTGTATGTCTTTTCCTCCTTGAGTATATATGGTCTGAATGTTTAAAGATGCATTCCTAATTCATACACTTCTTCACTTAGCTGTAACTTTCAAGTGACCTCTCTCAATGGCAATAAATCAGTTTTCTGGGGAGCATAGCCACTCTCTTTTGTCTTATTAAGTTGATGTTTGATGTTGACTCTGCACATTTCCTGAGCCATTTTTTGGCACACTTTTCGTAATCTGAAATTACTAATCAGCACTTTTGTCAAATTGATATGCTTGCTTTCTAAAGTAACCCTAAGTCAGTGACTCCCAAATTTGTTCTCACAATGAATATACAGGAGCCGTTCAAATACTATCAGATTTGTAGAAATGAAAACACACAATTGTCTACTCCTTAGTGTTAATATACTGAGGGTTTCCTGCTGATGGGATGCCTGCTTCTGGAGAAAACAGATATAAAATGGATGGTCTCAATGCTAATTCAGTGCAGGTTTTCAAACATGTAGATAGCTGCACTGCAGGGGAGTTTAAGTAGCATCCACTGGTATAAGTGGAGGGGAGACGTTTACCCCCTTCCATTCTAACCCATTGAAAATTATGCAACTAAATCTACTATTTGTAAAGGAGGCCAACATCCGCTGGCATCACTGAGGACTTCCTGTGGACAGTTTGAGAAGGGATTCCTGCTGGGACCACGGTAGGAGGTAAAGTTAAACTCCGCCCTCCACCTGCTGCTTGCCCTTTGCAGTCTGAGCTTCCTGCTGCTATTTTCATTTTGAAAAATATGTGCTACAGGTTGTGTTCCCACATTTTAAATCAAATCTGGCTTGGCTCTTAGTTGCAGCTTCAAGTGGAAATTTGCAGGGCAATGAATCCAGTCCCATTTGAAAGACTCAAAAGCTTTATCTGGCATGTGAACATAGGCCACTGTATTAAATATAGCCATGGACATGAAAACTCAACCCAAATAAAACTTTCTACTTTTAAATAACCCCCTGCACTCATCCGTTTTTTGTTTCTTTTTTTGCTGCGGAAGTCTAATATGGGTACCTTCCTGGACATTTTTGAAAATCTGAAGTCACTATCATCATGGTATTCCTGGGGGAAAAAAGGTTTGAACCCTAATCAACAAATCATCCAGGACAACTACAAAAACTGTTCTGTTCATTTCATTTCCTGTCACTTCTGTACTACCCTTTTAGTGCAATACAGTATTCTGGGTGGTTGACAACAAAGGAAACAAACAATACCAGACACGTGCAATACCTCAAACAATGAGGAACAAAATAAACACAAAATTTTATACATTTTACTAAATGCACACACAGAAGATTTTGAAAGTAAATGAAATAGAATCAGGATTGCAGCAGGACATTTGCAAAAGCTGGGACATATTTATAAGCCACACATACAGAGCAAACAGGGTTATATACGAGTTGTTTCCTTAATCAGTGAGAGACTTGACTACATTTCCATTATAAGCTGGTATTCAAATCCAGTGGGGGGAAGACATGCTGAATCCTGTTATTGATGTTTTGTTCCTCTTCAGAGGCTGCAAGCCGATTGCGCTCTACAACCAGCCAGTCCCACAGCGCACCCAGTCCACCAAGGAACATGATCGCAGGGAGCAGTAGGAAAATCCGATAAAGAAACAATGGACCTGGCATGGAAAGAACGGGGGTGGGGGTGGGGGTGGAGAGTGTGAAATTCATGTCAGTTTGTCACAAACCAGCTTGTCATTAATGTAACAAGGAAGGCCTGAACCAACTGTATTTGTATGACCTGGCTTAATGACAATTCCTCTTCTCCCTAACCAATGGTGGATTGTTTTCCCATATTATCAGTGAATTTTCCATAAAGATGTTTAAGAATGGTGGGTCTTGATTCTATATACTCAGTGCCCTGCTAGATCCCCATATAGTCTTAATATTCTAAGAACTTTACACCTGGGGATTATACCCAGTGTTATGCAAACAGACTTCTTTTTTACTCTCCTGCCCCATAGCCCCATCCCAAATCTGCTCTTGGAAGTTAGAGAATCCTTGGAACCAATAAGGCTCGAAACATATACAAAGTGAATTGTGTAAGTGGGTGACGGGGATTTCTATTAAGCTGGTGAATGGTCAACTTGGATGGAATCCTGTATCTTCCCAGTTCTAGTCAAATGCTCTCTTTAATGCACTGTACTGCCTTTCTTTACATGCCACTTTAATCTGGGTGTATTCAAAACCATGCCTCTTTCATCTACTTTATTTTCTACTAGAATGTATTGCTTATGACCCATAGTTCTACTACTAAGTTTCATTCCATGTTCCCTCTGACCTGACATGGTTCCACTGGATGAATCTATCAGCAAAAATGAGCAGACTCCCTCCCCGCCTTTACCTGACATGCGAGAGGATCTGTTAGATCCTGTAGACCCAGAGACCTAGGAGATGGAATTCATAGAAGGAGGTGCCTCTGTGGTTAATCCTAAGGAGGAGGTTGGACCACTCTGCATTCCATGAGGAGGCTGCTGGAGAAAGCCAAGAACCTGGCTGGATGCCTCCAGCCAAAATACTCAGGGAAAGATTCCTTGGAAGAAAAGATGTCCTAAAGAGAACGGGTTCTCTTTCAGGGAAAGCTTTTTCTCCCAGGAGGACCAGCACGCCAAATACTGCCACTTAGTGCCTTTCACACTTGATTAAGTGCCAGCAGTTGCGCTTTCAGTTGGGGTCTGCCAGTCCTGCTATATCAATCTTAGGCTGTAACTGGGACTTCTTGCTTCAAACCTGCCTTTTTTCCACTACTTTTGACATTGAGTCCTTGCTGTATATGATTTTTGGACTAACTGATTATGTATCTTAAAGTAAAAGTAAAGGTTCCCCTTGACGTTCTTAGTCTATTCTTGTCTGACCCTAGGGGGCGGTGCTCATCCTGTTTTCAAGCCGTAAAACCAGCGCTTGTCCGAAGACAGTTTCCATTGTCACATGGCCAGTGTGACTAGGGAATGCCGTTTTACCTTCCCACCGAGGTGGTACCTATTTATCTATTCGCATTTGCATGCTTTCGAAGTGCTAGGTTGGCGAGGAGCTGGGACAAAGCGACGGGAGCTCACTCCGCTGCATGGATTTGCTCTTACGACTGCAGTCTTCTGACCCTGCAAGCACAGAGGTTTCTGCGGTTTAGCCCGCAGCGCCACCACATCCCTAAGATTATGCATCTTAGACTCTCTCAATTCCTCCCCCCCACCCCACCCTCATGCTGCTGACTATTGGACTAAACTTTGTCTTCACACTTCTCACAATTTGCTGGTAGGACTGTTTGTTAGACATCTGCCTATTGCCACAGTCTCCCTGCCCTATACATACTTTGCCTGGGAGTAGGATACCACCTTGCCCTTATCCTTACGCCAACCATAACTTTTTCTATGAAAACAATTCCAATTGAAAAGGTCCTTCTTCCTCCATGGGACTTACCCACAGCTGTCAGCAAGACCTGTCCGTCACAAGTTCTGTTAAGTCCTGAGAGGACTTGGTACTCCCCTTCCAGCTCTTTGCTCATATGCTTGACAACAAGGCCCTTATTATGTAGGATGAGATGGTCTTTCAGGTCCATGTTGAAATAGTAAGAGCGCCCTCTGTTGACAAGCAGAACCCACTCACAACGGGAAGAAGCATTTACTCTGCACAAGATGGAGAAACCCTTTGAGCGGGCTATAGGGATGAAGGCTTTCGAATCACGGGGGATGTAGCGGTGAATGGTGGGACACCTGCCAGGTCCTGTCGGAAAGAAGTTAGCCAGACGGCTGTCATCAAATGAAATGTTTGGTTGGTTTCATCCCAAAAGATCAGGATTCTCTTTCAATAATTTAAGAGAACAGAAGTTGCCATTGGTCTCTCTTTCTCTAAAACAGAATAATATTTATCAATACTGTTTGCTGTCTTGGCTCTGATCAGAAAACACCAGATGGTAAATAGAACACTTGCAACAATTCTGCAAGGTGCTCAACCTCTTTCTTTTAGTGATATTCCAAAATATGTAGAAGTACCTCCAGAGTAGCTACCAAGAATAACAGCCTGATGGAAAGAACCTGGCACAGAAGTGGGCAAAGTATGGTCTGGGGCCCACATGTGGACCCTAAGGCTAGTCCTGGCCCCATGATTATCCTGGAACTCCACTGCCAAAAATTCTACCCTAGCAATAAAACATTAATTCCTCTTCCTGGGAGCATCTGGGAATGATTATTAACTTTTTGAATGAGTTTCAGGAGCTCTTGCACTTTTTTTTTAAAAAAAGGAAAAATAAACAATGGTGTCCCCCATCCCATTTTTGGTGGTCTGTGTGACCCCAGAAGAGCCGTGGGGGGGCTCATCAGAAAACTGATGCCTAGATTGGCCATGACCTAGCAGTAGCCGGGGGGGGGGGGGCTCATCAGAAAACTGATGCTTAGATTGGCCACAGTTGCCTTCCTGACTTAGCAGCATTGTTGAAGACTCCCATTATTTAGGATGGTCAAATAAGCAGCATTTCATTTCCTGAGATTTTCTAGCCAAATCCTGACATCAGGAAAATGGCTCCTTATGATGTCAAAGAGATGGGCCAGGCAGGTTTTGCATGCTACTGTCAGGCTTGTCTAATATGAAGATTCATGAGTCATCACGCTGTTGTTGTACTCCTTGGCCTGTTCCATATGATACGATGAGTTATGAGCTGGCTTGTCACAAACAGTGCCCATAACAACACAACAATAGAAGCAGCAACTTCAGATCACATTACTGTGCCTAAGTATACAGTATCCAGAAGTATCCCCAAAGGAATATTTATGCTAAGGGCCAGCCCTACTATTAGGTGAGTGAGGTGGTCAGCTCAGGCAACAGATTTTGGGTGTTATCAAATGGCTAATAAATTGTGAGTTGTTGCCTTTATTGTTATGAATATGTCACTGCCTGGGATGGGGAGAGCTACTTTTTGTCACTGGGTACTATGCAACCTGATGCAGGTGGGTGGGTGGGGTGCTATTTGCTGTTCTTTTCCCCATTGTCTGTTCAGGATGATAATGCAAGATGGGAGCTGAGGTGCTCCCCTTCGAACAGGATGCCATGGCCACCCTAGTCTGTTTCATCCTGTAAAACGTCTTGGTAGAAACAACTAAAAGACTCAATCGTCAGTGCCAGCTGTTGGAAATGTTCCTTGTTCAGATTACAATTCCGCCAGCCAGCATCGTCAGTTGTAGAAAACCCCATAAGTGTGTGGATTTGAGTGTTTAAACTCAATTTGTCCTCCATAAAACTAGTACAGCAGTACAATACAATGTCTATGCTGTATTTTGTCGCGATGCAGAGTTTGGGCTGCCATTTGTGGAGGAATCAGATTAATAACCTCATATGGCTTTCTCAAAAAATCAAAACACTCCCCCCCCCGCCATGCAAAACGAGACAAACCATTGCAGAAACAAAACAGGAAAGAACAAAGATTTAGATTACTTTGTGGGCAACAGTCTGTCAATACCTATCAGTCATGATGATGGTAAATTAAACCTGCAAATAGGTTTAGAGGTTTTGTGGGCATCTTGAAACAGTCTGGCTGGCCGCTCTGGTATTTTAAATGGTATTCAAAGTACGTTCTGGTGTTCTGTGCGGTCAGTCTGCATCCGATTTTATAGAGACCTTAATAGATGTATCAAGGGATAATTCAAGGAGTTTCCATAGCTGAGTGAAGGGATTTGAACCCAGATCTCTTGAGTCCTGGCCTGTTACTCTTTCCGCTACACCGAACGGATACATCACATTGTTTGCTGAGTGACAAACAGGGGGGAAGGCCTGCAGGTTTTCTACTGGGCCTCCTGCAAGAAGAGTCGGGCTGGCCATCCCGACAAAAACGGTACTGAATGAGAAGGACCCTCGGTGTGACCTTAAAGAGGCTTTCTTTCTTTCTTAATTCAACAGCTCTTGTGGCTCGAGCAGATGGAGGGGTTGCGTGTTTGGGACGTAGAGGCCCACAGCAGCCCCACAATGCATGCCCCCAAACACCCAGCTGAGGCCTATCGTTTTAATCCGTAAGGCCAGCCTGGGTGAGTCGCGCTCTTACCCGCCGCCTTTCCACTCAAAGGGCCAGCTGCAGCTTCCATGAACCCTCGCCCCACAAGAACACCCCAAATCAGAACCGTGGCCCAAGGGAGCGCCCGTGACCTCCTCCTTTCTCGTGGGGCTAAAGGGTAGGCCCACATGTCACCAACCGCCCCGGCAGTTCCCCTGCGATGCCCACGCCCGCCTTCCCTGTTGAGGTCACAATGGAACCCTTCCAGGGCTGGAAGCCATTTTGCTGCCGCGCCAGTGGGAGAGGACGGCGGGTGGGCGCGCGGGCAAGGAGGGTGCCTTTAATTGCCCAAGACCACAGACTCCCCTCCTTTCAATAAACGTGTTGGTTGTGATTTAACAACATTTGGCTTTGAGGCGGGAGTCTGTGTGTGCTGGGGAGTGGCAGAGGTGTGAGCAGCATTCAGACCTAGAAATGTGTTTAAGCTGGAGTTGTCAGCCACAGAATTAACACAAATCAGAGAACGGTGCCACTTCATATGAGAAACATACCGTGTTTCCCCGAAAATAAGACAGGGTCTTACATTAGTTTTTGCTCCAAAAATGCTTTAGGGCTTATTTTCAGGGGATGTTTTATTTTCACGTACAACAATCTACATTTATTCAAATAACAGCCATGATATCTTCTTCTGGTTGCTGCACAATGCTGCATAATGGTGGAGGATGGGGTTTCACTTAACTGGGGCTTATTTTGGGGGATGGGTTTATATTACGAACATCCTGAAAAATTATGCTAGGCCTTATTTTCAAGTTAGGTCTTATTTTCAGGGAAACAGTATTATCTTGGGATGGCTCTAAACAGAGGCTTTCTCTCCTTGGAGTTTTAATAATCATGCCATCAAGTCAATTCAGAATTTTCCAGGTAGAGGGTATTCAGAAGTGGGTTTCCCATTCCCTCCTCCTGGGGCCATCATTGGCACAGGGTAGCTTGCCCAAGGCCACACACAAGCTGGCTCTTCTCCCTGGAGGCCCAGTAGGGAATTGAACTCCCAACCTTTTGCTCCACAGCCAGATACAGTGGTGCCTCGCTAGATGATGATAATCTGTTCCACTGAAATCGCTGTCTAGCGAAATCATTGTCTAGCGAAAAGCAAATAGTCATCTAGCAAAAATCGGTTTGTGAATCAGGGCCAAACATTGTCCAGCGAAATTCCCCCATAGGAATCACTGTTTTGCGAATCGCTATAGTGATTGCAAAAAGTCAACGTCTAGCGAAAAAACTATCATGCGGGGTAACTGCCTAGTGACGCACCACTGTACCTAACTAACTGAACTACCTAGCTTCAGAGTTTTACCACACTGCAAAACAAAACAACCAACATGACACTAGGTCCCATGATTTCAGTCTCTTCCTTCTTTCAAGGAACTGTTCCTTATTTATAAACTTCCTTATTTGTGAGAAGTCTCATGAACAATGCCTTTAGCCTTAGGCTAGATTTGAGTTTTAGTCCCAATGAGAGTAAATCCATTGAATAAATGGGACTTACACTAGTGTTGACTTAACAGCTCCCATCTAGTCAATAGGTCTACTCCCTATATGGGAGTAATGATGAGATTTAACAGAATCTCATCCCAGAAGGAGAAAAATAAGGTATGCTTCAAATAAAATCTGTAAATAAACAACATCACATTTGAATAAAGGACTATTCATGTTCTAAAAAATTTAATACATTATTTTTGCCTGGCCTTATATTATTTTGAAGGTTCTCAAGTGCCACATCTAGCAAATTTGCCACTTTTTTCCAGAGCTGTGATCATCATCTTTGTTCAGAGGTGGGGGACAGAACAAAAAAATGATGACATGGAGTTGTCTGTAATTTTTTAAAAAAATATGTGGCCCACTTTTAATCCCAAACTGTGACACTGATCCTATTTCATGTTTTTCTCCTTTTGTCTTTATGGCCTGTGCAGGAACTGCAGAGCCAGGTGGTAAGAATTTCAGAAGGATGCCCTGGATATGCATATTTGTATGTTATTGATTTTATTGGGAGTGTGCTTTGGTGTGTAGAGCACAATATGAATCAACAATAACATTTCTATGAGCGTCCCTGAACCTCAATACAGCATCACAACTGTGGGTGTCATGAAATAGTGTGATCTATTTCCTAGTGATCACATGACATGCAGGGAACTCTGCTCCAGTCCAACCCTGATCCATGCCCGACCTGGGCCCATTTGGCCCAGTTAAGGGCTACTACTTTTGGGGCCTGTCTGTAATGAAAAGGGTTGCTTTAAGTGAAATAACTTTCTGCAAAGTGACCCTTTCTGGTGCAATCAGATGCACAGTTGCACACTTTTCCAGCCATCTGATTGCACTCAATGTCAGGTCAGGGAGCCAGAAACCTTTGTGGAAGGGGGGGCAACATGGCTAAATTCCTTTGTGGGTTGCAATGCTTAGAATCCTCAAGTCACCATGGCCACTGGTCATGCTGGCTGGGGACTTCTGGGCTCAACATTATCTTCTCCGAGCACTGGGAAAATGATGCAGTTGAAAAGCAGGAGGGCACTTTGCATATTTGTATAGGCTAAAAACATGCATCTATTCTATTTCGACCCTGAATGAAACTTTAAAGCAGAACTCTCAATATTTGACTGGAGTCAACACATAGTGACCCAGACCCATCCGGAAGCCCTGCCTCCATGGATCTCTTGAACAGAACATGTGAGTATCAAAGGGAGGATTGCTGGCACTGGAGCATAACAATAACAAAGACCTATCAATGCAGCAGAGAGACAGACAGAGAGAGTGTGTGTATCCTTGTTGCAATGGAAAAGCTGTGGCTGTCCCTGATGCTGGCAGGTGAGTACAGGGTGACATAGACTTGTTTCTCCAGGCCAGGTAAAGAATAGTTAGGAAATCAGAGACATGCAAGACTCAGGTTGCAAAGATGTATTTGGATACACACACACACATGCTCAAGCTGCAAGTGACACTCAGAACAAGTATGACAGGTGAAAAAGAGACTGTGTGGTGTAGTAGTTAGAGTGCTAGTTTGTGACCTGGAAAATTTAGTCCCCAGTGAGCTAGTGAAATACATTGATGGGCTGCCCCTTCTGTCTCAGCCTCAGCTATCTCACATGTTGTTGTGAACTAGGGATGAGAGCCAGCAGTCCCCAGTGAGCTAGTGAAATACATTGAGTGACTGGGCTGCTCCTTCTGTCTCAGCCTGAGCTGTCTCACATGTTGTTGTGAATTATGGATGAGAGCCATGTATGCTGCTGTGATCTCATTTAAAGAAAATGTAGGTAGAAATGTTATAACTATCTAAATAGTTGGCTTGTTTGATAAAAGGAGCTCAACACAGCCTGGGCACCATTCATCTGTGCAGTCCTTATTTACTGATTTCAATGGTATAGCCCATTACTGCACTGCTGATGTTAGAAATTGCCAGGAAAAAGGGGAACCCACACTACACAGCTGTTTTTTTGCTGTTGTGTAGTTTACTACTCTAGATGTGATAGTCATGCTGTTCCCTGCTGATCACCATCTAAGAGCCAGCCTGGTAACAAAAAAGGATCAGTGCATCGGTCACAGAAAGCTTCTTTGCTGATATTTCACATTGGACTAGGAAACAAAGTCTTCTGAAAACCCTGGAGAGCATACTCTAGTCGATGTAGCTGATACGCACCTAGAATGATCTGACTTGGTGAAAGAACATTTTCTTGGCTGTGATTTGAACCAATCTTATCTGGAACAATATATTCGCGAAGGCTTTCATGGCCGGGATCTAATGGTTGTTCTGGGTTTTTCGGGCTCTTATCTGGAACCATGGGGAATAGTTTTGATCTATGGAAGAACCATAACACAATAGTAGTACAGTAGTCCACATGTGGTTTGCATGCAAAAGGTTATTAATTTCATTACTAAAATTTCCAGGAAGGACTAGGGAAGACTGCAAAGGCTAAATTCCTTTGTGGGTTGCAATGCTGATGTGCTTTGTTACAATATTGATGTGCTTTGCATGCAAAAGGTTATTGATTTCATTACTAAAATTTCCAGGAAGGACTAGGGAAGACTGAATGGTCAATGGGCATACTGATAGAGGATGATGAGAGTTGTAGTCTAGAGCGCATCACTTGGTCTTAGTGGTCTTCAGAAGATTGTGGTCTAGGGTTACACCAGATGATGCCAACCAGACTACAACTGTCATCATCTAATTTCCTTTGTTGTCTCATCTTGCCAGGCTCTGCTTCAGCCTTCTTGTTGACAGCACCCAAATCATCAATTGCAGTTCCACCAGGAGGTACAGCCTTGCTTCCTGCCTCAGTCAATTTTTCAGCCTCGGTGCCAGAGTACTTCCAGGTCCGATGGTATTTTCTCACTGGCCCTCATATCAGGTTGATTCTCCTTGTCAAAGCTGATAACTGCCAGGCACAGAATGGCTCTCAGTACTGGAAGGATTTCTGTGAGATCAGCATTTGGAAGACTTCAGGATATGAACATCGTGTGGAATTGTCTTCAGAGGATGTTTCCCTGGTCCTTTGGGATACGAGAGCTGAAGATTCTGGGACCTATTCTGTCACATTCCTGGCTTTGGGTGTCAAATCATCGGCCAACATCAGCTTAACAGTGTCCAATGGTGAGTTAATTCAGTTGGTTCTGTACCATTGCTTGATCTATGTTTAGCTTGACTTTGTTTTTGTTAAAACAATGCCAAAAATGGAAAGAATGCAAGGCCTATGTGATTCAGATCTTCAATTGTTTTTAAAAAAAATGAAAAATAGATCAGGGTTGGTGGCACTGAGGAGATTCCTTCCTGCTGTAACTCCTAATGTATAGCCGCAGGCATTAGACTTTAGCAAATATAGTAATGTACTAAGCATGGCCAATGTGATTTTCCTATACCTTATGGTACAGATAAATCCAATGGGTTATGGTTGACAGCAATTTTCTACTCTGCGTAGAGACACATAGGCATTCCTGCATCTTCTTTGTAGGGATATGCATTCAGATTTTGAAATATTCAGAATTCACTGAATAATGCTATATTCGTATAGTTCCAAATGTAACTAAAACTAAGTTCCAAATACAGTGGTGCCTCACTTAACGGGCACCCCGTTTAACGACGAAATTGCATAGCAATGAAGATTTTGCGATTGCTTTTGAGATCACATTGCGATGTTTTAAATGGGAAAAAATCGCTTTGCGATGATCGGTACCCTGTTTCGCTTACCGATCATCGCAAAGTGATGATTTTCTAACAGCTGATTGGCAGTTCCTAAATGGCTGCCGGGTAAAAAACATGGCCACCTGCTGTGTTTAGGAACAGATTCCTCGCTTACCGGGCAGCGAAAAAGGCCGCCATATGGAGGATTTTCGCTTTAAGGTGAGTTTTAAACCCATAGGAACACATTGAAGGGATTTCAATGCATTCCTATGTGCTTTTTAAAATCGCATAGCGACGAAATCACTTTGCAGCGATTTTTGCTGCACCGATTATCGTTGCTATGCGAGGCACCACTGTATCTGTAATAATAATTCCTAATGTTCCGAGCTGCATTTACTCCTGTAGATTAGAAAGCAAAAAGCTAGGTTTCTGCTTGCTAGAGGAAGAAGTGAAAGTGAAACCTATTTAAGAGGCATCTTGGAGTGATTTCTTGTGAAATGAAACTCTGTTGTCCTTGGCCAAGTGAAAGGGAATTGGGTTGAGATCCCTGAATCTGGAGTAGCAAAGATAGGCACCACGAGGTATCCAGTGCGGTAATGTGAATGATCCTGGAGAACCTGGTGGGAGCCTTGGAAGAGTTCTCCTTTTTGTGTGAAAAGAAAAGAAAAAAGTGTCTGTGTCCTCAGACACTCTGGCACCAAGGGTAGTGAGGGCAGAGAATCCAGTGTATCCTGATTGGTGTTGCCATGGATTTCTCAAGGGAGGAGGGCTAGGGTGACAGCAAAATCAGTAAATGATGTCTGTCTGCACCAATGAAACCTAGAAGCAGACAAAGACATAAGATATGTTTTTTCATATTGGTTCTTTCAGATTTAAAGGTGGGCTGTTTATAAATCCCTGAGCATTTGCTGTTAAGATGTTCTCTGGTGCAATCCTGAACTGCAGCAGTTTTCTCTATGTCCTTTTGTAGGACCAGAAAATATGCATTTCGATGTTTTGATTAAAGGTCTCCCAGTGTGCAATGAGGCTAGGTGTAGGGGCTGGACTTTAAGGTTGAACTCTGTGGTCCTACAGCTCAAAGAAAGAGGCATTGAATGACGACTCAGAAATCAGGTGGCAGAGGCAAGTGGGGACAGGCCCAGCATCAGCACATAGGCTGGCATTTGCATGCCAAGATATACTAGGGTGATGCTGCTTGCCCACAACATCCTTTAAAAAAAACCTGTGGTCAAATGGCAGTCTGCTTGACAGGCGCATGATTCCAAATGCTCTTTTTATTATTTTTACATTATTTTAGAGTACATTAAGCTAAACTGAATTGTCAGTTCCAATTACAGAAGACTTTTTGAAAGAAATGGGTCTTCAGTAACTCAACCTGTACTACTTCTTATTAATCAAACATTTGAATTTTGATTGTCCTTCTTCAGCAAAACAACATTAATTGCCAAGTCAATGTGTTTCACAGCAGGAGTGAATTCCTGGTTATTCCTATAGATGTCATAATAGTGCCATAATTTGAATGAGTTTAGAATGAAAGTCAATCATCCTCTGATTTGGCTGGTGTTTTAATATTAGGGTTCATTTTGCTGTATGTTTTAATATATCAGAAATATACAGTCAGTTGTGAAGCAGGGATAGAAAAGGGCCAGAGAAAAGAAATGTTATTTTTTTCTCCTTCACAAATGAAGTAATATGCACTGCCGTTTAATGGAAGGACACTGGCCATTTATTCCAGATCTTAAAATTACATAGCTGCAATGCTAAAAAGATGGGAGGCTTGTGCATCTAAAAAGTAGTGTAATGCTGTTTCATTTATTTTTTTAAAAAAACAGAAACAAGCTATAACTATGATGTGACTCCTGACATGCAATTCCTTGATGATGATCAAAGAAAAACACTACAGACCAACAATGTAACAAGAATAATAGGTAAGTTATAGGGAAGGAGAAGATGGCTTAGCATCTCCTTTGCTCTAAGAATCATTGAGTTGGATGGGACCATGAGATAATCTAATCCAAGAGTAAGTAATTTACGGGTAGTGGTCCAGTTGGGATCCTCAGCATGAGCTCATGTGGTTTTTTGACTAATTTCAAAAGCCCAACCAGGTCTTCGCCATGCTGAGAGGTCCCATCCCAAGCAGCCCCTAGATGGAGAGGAAGGTGAGAAATTTCAGGTAGCAAAAGAGAAAGGAGAAAAAAAACAGAGCAGCAGAACAAAGGGACAAAATGGGTGGGCTCCCCCATTTCTGACCCTAATCTACCAGAGGTTTTGGCCTTGCCTAACATAAGCAACAAATTGAGTATCCCCAGCAGGAAAAAAAGAGTAGTTCACCTCCTTCCCTGATCTAGTCCAGCCCTGGCTAAGCGGAGGATCTGCACTGGAAGATGGACTGCAGGTGACCATCTTGGCATTAATACCTCCAGCACAGAATTTAGAAAATTTAACTAGTTATGTTGTCTGAGGGATTGTCTATAGCCCTTCAAAGAAACTTTTCCAACCTTTATTGCGGTATTGCAGTAAGACAGTTCCATGACAGTCTGCCAGCTGTGCCTTTTCTTAACTCCCCCCCCATCATCATCATCATCATCATCATAATTAAAGTCTTAGAACTTCAGAGCTAGAAGGTACTCTATGGATTATCAAATACAGCCTCTGTCAAGGAGAACTGACCTCTTAACCATTGGCATATGTACCTAAACCACTGAGCTATCCAGCAGATCAAGAGAAATATGTGCTGCCATTCATTGGTCCATTCATTGTTTGGTTCCATTCATTGTTTGCCCAATAATTTCAGAATTTGCTTTTTGGGCCCAAAATGTCCTTCCTTCCTCCCAAGTCCTTTGGTTTCTTCCCCTTATGCCTGTGAGCCAAAATGATAGTAACACTGGTGTTGATGGTGCCCATCTTTTCTTTGTAGTGGGTGAGGATGCTCCCATGTCTTTAGTGAAAGTGGCAGATGAAACAGACTACGGGATGTCCAGCATCATCCGGCTGACCTTAGGTGGCCTAATCCTCTGTCTCCTTGCACTAATACTAGGAGAGGTAAATTATTATTTTAATATCTTTTCTGCCTGAACCACCCATATGAAGGGAAAACAGGTGCTGGTGTATATGCTGTTCCCAAACATATTCTGCTTTCGTTCCCTTGTGGTTGCTTCTATAACTTATCTCATGGCCCTTCTGCACTGATCTTACTGCTTCCTCTTCCCTCCTTTTTAATGGTTCTTAAGATGTTTTGTGAATTGAAGTGAGGTCTACTCCCCCCACCATATGGGTGTGTTAAACTAAAACCACACTCATACTTAACCACTCTTGCATGTGTTGCTTGCATGTGACATACAGTACTCACTTTTTTTATATGAATGCTAGCTGGAGGGGCCAATACTAAGCTTCTTTTCCATCATGTTGTTATTGTTATCCCAGTGTCAGAGAAGGCACACGGCGAATCAAATTTATTATATCCCGGTGCTTGAACTTGGCACTGGGGTTTCAATCCACATGCCCCAGGGTTGGTCATGGTTAGAAATGGGGATGAAGTGCAATATTTGAATTGCAATCTTCAACTAATATCACTGACATGCGCAATATCAACTAATATCACTGATTCATCATATATCTGAGACCCTGATGAATATGTAGCTGTGTATATAACACTATTATAAGGTGCTTGAACTTGGCACTGGGGTTTCAATCCACATGCCCCAGGGTTGGTCATGGTTAGAAATGGGGATGAAGTGCAATATTTGAATTGCAATCTTCAACTAATATCACTGACATGCGCAATATCAACTAATATCACTGATTCATCATATATCTGAGACCCTGATGAATATGTAGCTATGTATATAACACTTTTATAATCGTCCCTTTTTCTTTCCCTCTCTGCTTATGCCCCCGTGGATTAGCTGCTCCTTAGAGGCATAGGCAGAGAGGGGTTTTTCCCTTTGGGCAGCTTGCTCAAGCCTGCCTGAAAGGAATCTCTCCCCCCCTCCGTTTACAAAGACAGCAGGAGGGATCACTTTGGTCAGGTTTCCCCTGTCTTTCTATGCTCCTGTGGCGTAGACAGGGGAAGCCTGACCAAAGGAATCCCCCCCCCCCACTGTATTTGCAAACAGTGGGGGCGGATCGCTTCGGTCAAGCTTCCCTTGTCTATGCCATGGAGGCAAAAAAAGGGGAGTGTGAACCAAGCAATCCCCCCCCAATAATCTTTGCAAACAGTTGGGGTGGGATCATTTTGGTCAAGTTTGTGCACTCTTTCTATGCCCATGTGGCATAGAAAGAGAGAGGAAACCTGACCCCAAGCAATTCCCCCTCACTATCTTTGCAAATACAGCCTTTGATCAATAAAGGTATGAAAATGTGTCATTTTTTTAGGAGTCACAATGGCTTCCTTCCTTCCTTTCTTCCACACAACCACTAATCCACCCACCCACCCATCTATCCGTGCATACACTGGCAGTGACTCCTTGACTAGTTGCAATGTCCCTGCTGAGACCGCATGTCTGCCAGCCTACATCAGCCATAGAATTCTGTCCAGTAAATCTAGGACGCCAGTGGCAAGCATCCTCCCCTCCCCTCACAGACACCCTGGAGTGTCCCTCTTCAGTAGATCTATTGTCCAAGTAAAAGTCAAGGGTTGTTCTTCCTTTCCACAGCATATTTCCTTCACTTACTGCACAGCAGGAAAGACAGCAAGCTGGGGAGGAAGAGAGACCACATTGAACCAAGCGACAGTGGAACCCACTGCACCTTCAAGGCTGGACGACACTTCTGTGTATGTAGAGATGCGGGACCCAGATGAGTTGTATTGTACCATTAGCGGCTGAGCCTTCTCAATCTTCCTTTGAAGTATGGTACTTTATTGTCTTCTTCACCACGGAAGGGCTTGCTCTCAGCTGCTTCTTTCCAAACTGGGCACCTTCCAGATATTTTACAGTACGACTTCTATCAGCCTGAAGTGGCACAGCTATGGTGAGAGACCATGGGATCTGAAGTTCAAAAACATCTGGTGGATATTACTTTAGGGGAGGGGGCTTAATTTGATTATCTTTAACCAAGGTGGAGCTACACATGAGCAGTGCAGGTTGCAGTCATGTACCCACTGGGAACAGTTCGTACTCAATTCAATGAGACTGAGTTGAATGGACTGTTCTAGTACGATTGCGCTGTAAAGCATTTTTTATTCACCGTGATCCCCTGTAACTTGGTTGTGAAATATGGGTTGGTCTAGTCCAGACCTGGGCAAATTGCGGCCTTCCAGATGTTGCTGAACTACAAATCCCAACATTCCACACTGTGTGGGCTAGGTCCAACTCTCCTCACTATTGGCTGTGTGGGCTAGGAATTATGGGAGTTGCAGTTCAACAACATTTGGAGGGCCACATTTTGCCCACCCTTGGTCTAGACTGAGTGTGCGTTCAAACAGTCCTTTGCGTTAATAGCATTAATATTTTACCTGGGCTTGTATTCAACAAGTGGCAATTTTTAAAGCAAGGTGGGCAACTTGTGGCCTTTTGACTGTTGCCAGCCTTCCCCAACATGGAGGGAAAGGGCAGATAGATAGATAGATAGATAGATAGATAGATAGATAGAGAGAGAGAGAGAGAGAGAGAGAGAGAGAGAGAGAGAGAGAGAGAGAGAGAGAGGTGCGTGCTACTGTGTGGTATACAATACGCAGGGACTTACTTGGTCACCCATAGTGGTCCACAAGGATGCTGGGAATCCACCCAACAGGGCTTCTAATCCCAGCATTCCAAGCAGTGAAGAGTCAGAAAGTGAAGCCACTTGGGTGATGTACACAGCACCTTGGGAAATGTAGTCCTCGCTATTGCCCACTCCGGTTCTTACATTTAGTCTTACAGATACAACTGGCCCTTTGAGGGTAACTGTAATGCAGATGCGGCCCAAGACGAAATTGAGTTTGACACCTCTGCTCTAGAGAATCTTCTGATTTAAGCAAGCACCTGTCTTTCAGCCCCTCCCATGTTTTGCTTTGTATATTTGCAAATAAAGAAGATGTTTCATAGATGTTATATCATTCAAAAGAGTGAATTCAAAGGATTTCTGTAGCACTTTTACCTACACATTTTCGCTGCTTAAGACCATACGAAGAACCACAGCATCAATGGACAAAAAGATACCAGGCAAAATCCAAAGAAACAAAATGAAACAAGAAGAAACAAAACAAACCAAAAAACATAAGGGTCCCAGGACTAACTTCTGACTACATATTAGCCTGGCTCTGATGCATTAGTCAGTTACTCAGAGATGAGGAGATCCATTTATGTATTTGTTTATTTTCAGTTGAAAGCAAGCAAAATAATGCATGCAACTTCACTCACCAAACATTCAGAGAAGAGCGCCACCCTCATATTACAGTTATAGATGAAACAAGAAGAAACAAAACAAAACAAAAAACAAAAGGGTCCCAGGACTAACTTCTGACTACATGTTAGCCTGTCTCTGATGGGTGGTTAAGCTTATCCCTCCCGATTTTATAAGTTTCAACAAGAAATGGGTGGGAAACGGGGGTGGAGAAGGAGAAGGAAAAGGGAGGATTTGCAGGTGGTTAAGCTCATCCCTCCCAGTTCCATGCAGTTAGATTTCCAGGTCTCTTATCTCTAACCAAGGACACATTTTCAATTAGGCTGGTTGGTTGCAAAGCGAAAAAGGAATTCAAGCAGCCTCTGTCTTTGTTCATTCTTGTCTACTAAGCAGAAACCTTCATGTAACAAAGCAAGTTACAGAGGCAAGATGGCTGCAAGCTAGGCTAAGTTATTCTTTATATATGTATGTGTTGATTTGACCCCCTTCAAAACCATGTGGCATCTTAAAAGACTATTATATTTTAATGTGAGCTTTTGTGGATTATGTCTGCTTCTTCAGGCATCTGAGGAAAAAGGAAATGCAGAATGAAGTACAGAAATCAAAGTAAAACATTCAAAACATTCATCAGGTTTAGTTAGTCTTTAAAGTGCCACATGTTTTTGTCTTGTTTCTTTGGATTTTGCCTAATACGCTCGTACACCCTAACATGGCTACTTCTTTTAAATCAGAAGATCGGTCTCAACTAGTACTTTGTTCATACAGTGGCTAATCAGTTGCCCCTGTGAGGTCTGCCAACAGGCTACCAAATTCACATTCATCTAATGATCCTTAGCAGTTGAGGGTAACATAAATAAGAGCCCCATTGTGCAGTGGGTAAACTGCAGTGATGCAATGAAGCCTCTGCTCAAAACCTGTGTTTGGTTCTGATGGGCTGAGGTAACCATCCTTCTGAGGCTGATAAAATGAATAGCCAGTTCGCTGGGGGGCAAAGAGGTGTTTGCATAATTATGTCGTAAACCACCCACATAGCGCTTTAGGAAACTGCTGCTGGTACTTCCTGGGAAGTCTTGGCTTCTTGGTAAGAGGTATAGTCTCACTGCCAGGTAGGCTCAATAAACGGTATCTCCCAATGAAATACATCTACCATAAAGAGCTAGGCCTCCCAGGACAGCTATCTTTTTGTATATTAACAACCGGAAGTAGGCCCAAGCAGTCTGGATGATAGACCTTGTTGCAGGTGAGCAAAAGGTATGTGTGTAGCTGTGGGTTAGAACTCCCAGAATTCTTATCTCTCGTGTAGAGATAATATCAATTGGCTTCTGTATTTGGTGAGGGTGATGGCACCCCTTTGTCCTTCTCCTTGGGGAGCAAAATGTCTTGGTTTATCTCTAGTTTATTGCTTCTAGCTAGAAGCCAAGGGTGTGGATGGCCACATCCAGGCAGCACAGAGGTGGCCCTGCACTGAAGCCTCTGATGGGTTTCATTTGCTGGAAAGCAATGGCGTAATCTTTTCCATCCATGGTTCACAATGCTGAAGGGCCTGCTGGTGGGAGCCGTGTCATTTTCTCCCACTTCTATGTCTTGTTGATTGTGATACTACCATCTTTCCCCACTGAATGGCATTTTTGGTGTTATTATATTAGCCAAGGCATGGAAAGGATAAATAATAAATTGATTTTTATTGCACAGGAAGAAAATAGCTTTACAAACATGTCAGTAATGCCTAAGAAGATTCATTCATTAGGGTGGGAAAGAGCAGTCCTTAATATGTTCGCAGGAAATCTAGAATAACTAATACGAGAACTGAAAGGAGACAATAGGCTGAAATCATAACACCTGCAGAAGAGAAAAGAAATAAATGTAAACACTGAGCATAACACCCTTTGCATATTATACGAAACTCACACTCCTGTTTACAAGTATTGGCAGATATGGAAGTAAATCAAGCTTTTCATTAGTTCAAAAAGTCTTGCAGGGGAGGAAGTTTTAAAAGGGAAGACCATTTGCAAATATATATATATTGAATTGTTTTTAAAGTTGTTCGTTTTGTGTAATCTGCTTAACACTTTTAACTTTCTCCTTCCACTCCTAACGTCAATTTATTCTATTGTTAACTGCCTTAAGTACCAGTTTCTGGGGGGGAAGGGAGAGACCCACACTCTGGAACTCCCTCTTTGCTTTCCTTCTGCAAGACTTTTCCTTAGTAACCATATGTCTCTGAGACAATAAATGGGATGGTTCATATTTTGTTGCTTGTTTTTAGTAATGCCTTTACCTAGTATGTTTAATATAATTTTATTGATTTTTCTTTAATATTTGAATTATTTACTGTTTTGATCTTTAATATTGTTTTATTAAAGATGTTATCTGCCTTGGGCCTTTTTTTAGGAATTTTGATCTTTAATATTGTTTTATTAAAGACGTTATCTGCCTTGGGCCTTCTTTAAGGAAAAAAGTGGGGTAAAAATATTATCAGTCAATAAATAAAGTCTAGTACACCCACACCTACTAATAAACACAAATTAAGAACGTTTGGACTGAGACATACTTTTTTAAAAAATGTAATACATGCAGGTTTTAGCTGGACAAAGATGGTAAGCAGTCTTTCGGTTTCTGGTTTTTTAAAAGAATCAAGGCATATTTAGGGGATGTAACATCATCGCCTGTTTCCTGCGTTCAGATGGTTTAGGAGGAAGTTTTGAAAATAGCCTTACTCAGTGTCATGTGAGACTAAATGCCAGTGACATAAGGCTGGAAATTCTGAGTTTTCTCCCCATTCCCCCCCCCCACAACACTTTAGAATATACATCTTTCACCAAAAGATGCCTTTTAACCTCTAGGCTTTGATCGGCCTTTTTGTTCAATCCAGTGCCCTCTAGAAGCATGAGAGTGCAGTATCAGTCATACAGGCTAGGAATGATTGAAGCTGCAGGTCAATGGATCTTTAGGCCTGTCCGAGAAACAGTGGTCTGTTTGAAACTGGGGGATGCTTTGTTTTAAGTGATGAATACTGGCACACAGCTGGGAGAGTTATTTTTTTTAAAGAAACTACAATTATATTTAGTAGTTACAAAAGCTCCAAGTACTGAGTTAATGTTTGTTACTATTTTTAAAAAGTAACTCTCTGCTTTCCCACTTCTTAGAAGCAAATTAAAGATTTGCTATTTCTTTACTTTTTACCAAAAATCTGAATATCACACCACGAGGTGTGATGCAAGTAGTTACAAAAGCTTGAATCATGTGCTATTTCTTCTCCATGTCTAGTGAGGTCACGGTGTAAAGTAATTGTGAAGATACAGTTACAATTATTTCTCCTTAAATTACAATAGGATTAGCCCTGTCCAGGCACTGCGTTGTGTTGGGTTAAATGTAACAAAAAGGAAAGAGTTTTAGCCCTACACCCATTATATGCAGAGACTTTCCACTTCGTCAGTGGAAAATCCTGAC